AGGGTAGAAGAGAACAAAACGAGCCAAAGGGACACCTTCTGTGACTGACTAGATAACTGTTCCCAATAACTGGAAGGAGGAGCACAGTGGTAAGAACCATGAACTACAGAGCTAGACCAACTGGATCCAAGTCTTGCTCTTGCTACTTTCTAGCTTTGTGACCTTCTGCAAGTCACTTATCTATCTGACCTCAGTTTCTCAACTATAAAATGGGGATTAAAAATAGTACCTATCTCTTAGGGTGGTTATGAAGATGAGATGTGCTTACAACTATGCCAGGGAAGCAGTCAGCATTCTTTGTAAGTTACTGTTGGATTATTTGATCCAAAGAATGATTCTCTACTAAATTTGACCACTCTGTAATGGGAAAGACATAATCATCACATAGAGAGAAAGATGGTACCTGGGACAGATTGTTTTCCCTCTGCAAATATGAATACAGAGGAGAAGATTCCTGAAGGCTGCTGTTCAGACTGAATTGGTAGAAAATACAGAGTGAACCACTGGGCTCAGGCAAGCAACTGCTGTCAACACAGTTATCTATTTTGAGAATCTAAAAAATGCTAGTTTCTATCAAAAAGATGTCTATAATTATCAGCACTGTTGCATGTCTACTGAATAGTTATTACTGCTGTTCAAAATGATGGACCTAACACAAAATGCCAGTCTTAATATGGTTAACTGTTCATGTTTTTTAATGCAATATTATTATTAGGAACTTGAAAACTTACAGGTAGAATTTATGCCTGTAATGAACAATTATCGTGTTTTGTCTGCTTGATGTTTCATCGCTCATTCTTTGAGAAAAAAGGGCCCTATTCTTTTCAAGAACTGAGTATCCCACTTCAGACATGTGACCCTAATGGGGGCTGCTAAGCATAGTATCTTATACCAGCACCCACCCACTCTAACAGGTGGAAATCTGGTCCAGAGCTTAGGCAGTAGCAGCTTTTACTCTTCAAGGGGTAGAGGTTGTCCAGGGTGTGAATATATGACCCAGACTGGGTCAATCTGAGTGCTTCTCTGGGATTTTAATAACTGGTATTGGGTGAAGGGTAGATGGACAGAGGACAGAGGAAATATATGTGATTTTAGAACTGTTAGTATCCACTGCTTCACCGACATGGAGAAAGTCGGCTGAGAGAGTAAAATTGTCACAAAAAGAGAAACAGAGATAAGAGATGAAGAAAGAAAATCCTGGGGTCCCATTCCTTGTTTCTTAGGGGTTCCCACCCTCTCTGATGGCTGGCTATGTGAACCAGTACACCTCCCTCAGTTTAAGTTGGGTGAAACACTATGACACTTATAGAATAATGAGTCCATCCATCCATCCATCCATTCATCCATCCATCCATCTATCCATTCATCCATTCACTATCTCACAAAGTTAATATCTACTAAAAGCCAACCATGTGTCAGGCTCTGTTCCAGGCAATGTGTCAGGTGTAGGAGATAATACAGTGAATAAAACAGACAGAGCTTAGCCCCTGGGAGGCAACTGACTTAATATATATATAACAGGCAATCATCGTAGGATCATGGGGATAGAGGCAGGGGCATGGGCAGAGGGTCAGGAAAAATCTCTCTTGGGAGGTGACATTAGGTAGGCTCCCAAAAGAAGTGAAGGAGAGGGCTATATAAGATGTGAGATAAGACCTTCTGGCCGAGGGAAGACAAGAGTTGAGATCATGCTTCCATTGTATTAGCCGAGCTCATTCTGCACACATGGATAACAAGGGCATAACAGCCACCTGTGCTGCAGGCAGAGTCCAGCTGATGCGGAGGAAGGCTCATGGACTCCCCGTGCATCTGCAAGGCCCATCTTCTATGTTTGACTTAGATGTAAGTTACATAAATGCTTGAGATCAGTTTCCTCATAAGTAAAATAGAGGTACAATTCATCCTTGACTTAGGTCATCTTTTATAGTCACTCAGCAAATACTTGTGGGGTACATCTTACATTTCAGGCAGAGTATTAGCCTTGTGGAGCTCATGGTCTAGAGAGGAAGAGATGATTTAACAGGTGTATGTGTAAATATGTATCATATTTATATCATATATAAAGTAAGAACTTTATTATATTTGCATAGATATATAACTTTTAAATCAGTTTATTTGTATAGATATATAATAACTTCTAAATCAGATATATAATAACTTTTAAATCAAGCCCATAGTTGGTTATAAAGCTGTCACTTATGAGGGCTGTCTTGACTCTTTTGATTTATAAGGATTTGAGGAATAAAAGCTCAGTTGAATTCTTACAATGAGTGGGAGGTTGGCTTTGATAATTTTATGCTTCCTTCTCAGGATCTCTGATTCTAAGGTTAATCAAAAGGAAGAGAGCCAACTTCTACTGTGGGCTTACTAGGGGCCCAATGTTATAAAGTATATATGCTTTATTAGGGAAGTTCTGAGTCCTACCTCAGGGCATCATGAGTTGGGCATTTAAACTAGGTGAGAAGGGATGGGAGGGTGTCAGCTGCCTTCACTTTCATGAGAATCAAATAAGATGACATATGTAAAATGTTTTGCATAAAATTATCAAAGCCAACCTCCCAGTCATTGTAAGAATTCAGCTGGGCTTATGTTCTACAAACCAGTCCAAGTAAATCAAAACATTCAAGGCAGCCCTTATAAAGTCATAGCTTTACAACTAAATATGGACTTGAGCTCTTTCCAATAACCTAACTGGAAAGTCATTTTTCTTATCCCCAGTATAGCACCAGCATGTTAAATTACAGAGAATATAATCCTTTCATCAGGCTGACAAATAAACAAGGGTATGGGCTACCTATGCTAGAAGGAGGCAATAAGGTGAATTCCAAATCTGACTCTATTTAGAAATATGAATAAAGGGGCTGGGCACGGTGGCTCATGCCTGTAATCCCAGCACTATGGAAGGCCAAGATGCGCGGATCACCTGAGGTCAGGAGTTCAAGACTAGCTTGACCAACATGGTGAAACCCGGTCTCTACTAAAAAAAAAAAATACAAAAATTAGCCAGGTGTCGTGGTGCTCACCTGTAATCCCAGCTACTTGGGAGGCTGAGACAGGAGAATCACTTGAACCCAAGAGGCAGAGGTTTCAGTGAGCTGAGATTGTGCCACTGCACTCCAGCCTGGGCAACAGAGCGAGACTTTATCTCAAAAAAAAGAAAAAAAAAGGAAAAGAAAAGAAAAGAAAAAGAAAAAGAAATATGAATAAAGGAAGGCTGGAACACCAGGTAGCTGTCAGCCCGTTGAAGAAGCTATTGTAAGGTGGAAAATGCACACAAGCAAGTGTGACTCTAATGTACACGTACGTTCCTGACATTCTGTAGTCACCTGGTTCCCTGCCTCCTGGGTAAAGGAAGTGATTCCTCTGTTGACAATTCTTGCATCCCGTTTCCAGATCTCATTTCCACCTCTAGGCTATGCAGCTATAATCACACCTGGCATCTTACCTGCTAACGCATCAGCCAACCTGACTCTGTCCCAACCCTGGATGAAGGAGACTGAGTGACTTACATAATGACTTAGGTCTTCTTCTCTGAGGAGGGTGAGCCACCAAACACCCAACAACTCTGACTCGGAGAAATCATGGGATAGATTTTCCCTCTGTGCTCTTAGCAGAGTGGGGATTTCTTGAAAGGGACATGAACAAGTTGATGACAAGATATCAGAAGCCCCTCTTCTAGAGAGGCATCCCCAAGAAAGCCTCAAAATGCATCTATCTGAGTCCTAATTAAACCGGAAGTGCTGAATCCAGGGCACTGTGATATTTGCATGCATATTTCAATGAATTTTGTTCATGTCTGTATAGAAAAGGCCCTAAAGGTCGATTTAATAATTCACTTGCAGTGTCAAAATCTGCACGATTTAAAACCCTGTTGGTCATGAAAGAAGGAAAGCAAAGAACACCCTGTTGGGAGTCTTGAGACCTTGATCATCTACTCCTGGTGCTTATGGGCTGTGTGATGTGGGATGAGCCTGTCCTCTCCAGGGACCTTGGTTTCCATAGAAATATCTGCAGAGATCTCTGTGGTGTCCTTTCACTCTGTCTCTAGGAGCCATGAGCTGCTGCAGATTCTCTAGTGAATGTCCCAACACCATTACTGTCATTCACCTAACCCTCCTTTACAATCTGCTTAAAGGCCCTTACAGTCCAAAGTGGGTCCAGGCAAGAACCACATAGTCCATTTGAAAACACACCCAAAGGAAACAGAACTGACACCATCAGTAATTGCCTCTTCCAAGTGGGATTTTGTGTGGATGGGGCTTCATGGACACACTTGGGAGGATTTGACTTGGCCTCCCAAAGGCCATTGTCCTCAAGTGGCTCCCCTATAAGGTAGTCCAGGGTCCTCTCACCTCCTCTGGCCAGATTCTGTCAGCACTAGAAGGAGAGCGTTTGGACTTAGTGTCCAGGAGATTGATTGTGAGGACTCACAAGTGATTTGTCAATAATAATAGTTTAAAAATGGCTTCTACATGTCATATAGGCATATAGATGATGTGGTTTACTGAGAAACCTCCACAGTCATGAGGATCATGAATTACAGTCTTGATTCACTTACCATCTGTTAGCCCAAGAAGCAGATGAAGTGATATATCATGCAAATAACATGGTCTTAATATTCGGACCAGACTTTGAATTTTGGTCTTGCCACTCAATCTCAACCCAACCTCTCTGAGCCACAGTCTCCTCATCCACAAAGGACGATATTAGGGCCTATCTTACGTTGTGGTTGTGAAGACCAAATGAGATAACATATGCAGAACTCCTGACACAGAACCCAGACCCTCAATAAGAGGCTGCGGCCATGATTCCTATTAAGTTGCCCTCAGATCAACCAGAAGGAAACCAGGCAGAGGACTATGGTGGTCAGCAACCATGTGACCCCAAAAACTCCATCCTGGGACCAGCATGACCACCCATGAGGCCCTACACCATATGGAGCAGGATGCTCTGTCTTGACACAAAGATGGGAAGAAGGGAATTCATAATCAGAAACTTACCTGGATGCTGCCTCCAGCTGTTCTTTCCTGGAAAGAGGAGAGGGAGAAAAAATAAAGCATAAATTACGTGAAACAGCTGTATTCTTCCTTGAAAGATTGCTGCAAAGCTTCCCTCTGAAGATGATGGAGCAGAGTTGAGCTCTAGGACAGGATGGTCAGTGTGGAGGGAACCAACGAAGGAGGTAGGTTTACCCAGCCAGACCCCAGCCCATGTTACTCCCATTGGCTCTGAGGTTTTCAGGGCTCTTTTCAGCCACTCATTCATTCATTTATTCATCCAGAAAATGGTTGCTGAGCACTTACTCTGCCCCAGCTCTCATGTTGAGCTCGGAAAATTTGTTTGGTAGTGGGGACAGATCAAGAAACCAGGAATGTCATAATGTAGCAGTCACACACCCAACATAACTCTATCACCACCAGTGTCATCATAGCAAACACTGTCTTAACTCAATTAATCCTCATAACAACCCTATGAAGTTCTACTATCATCCCATTTCCCTGAGGAGAAAATTGAGGCACAGAGGGGTTAAATGAATTGCTCAAGGGCTCACAGTTAGGAGACAGCAAAGTCAGGATCCAAACCCGTGTGATCTGGCTCTGGAACCCTCACTCCTAGCTGGGAGGTGCACCAGCCGTGCTTTACACATATTCATGACTCCAAGCCTTTTCTCAGGCTCTCCTTCTGCCTGGAACTCCCTTCTTCTTTTCCCTGCCTGGAACAGTCCTACTCATCCTTTATGTCCACCCGGAGGGGCCCTCCTGAAGGTTCTTATTCAATTGTCCAAGGTCTAGACAGAGAAAATCCCCTCACAAATGGAATGGTACTCTGTCGTTATCACGTGGATCACATCACACTAGAATTACATGTAGTCTGTTTTTTTTTTTATTTTTCTTGTCTAAAATATGAGACCTCTGCAGCCCAGCACATGAGAGTGCTCATTAATGTTGAAAGAGTGACTGGCCTAACATGGGGATCCACAGGTGGGAGGGATGGAGACAGAACAAGAGAATCATGGCAGAGAAGTAAAAGGGCCAGTTGGAGGGTTAAGAATTTCTGCTTTGAGGGTCAGCTCAGCATCTGGTTACAGTGTGGCCTTGGGCTGGTCACACATTCTCTGGGCCCATTTCCCCAAGAGCACAACAAAGTGATGAGTTAGTTGATCACAAAGCAGGTGGATACAGAAAGCTGTGACTATCTAGGATGTTCTAGGTCTCTGAGGCCAGGAGAAGTAGGAAAGATAGTAAGGGGAAGGAAAGGGCAAGGGGGCAGCTGAAAGGCATATTGGAAGAGAAGGTATGATACGGAGAAAGTTTAAAGGATTACACTGTCCATTCCTCTTTCACTCTCCACGGTGAGTATTTCATGCTTCCTGCTCTACCATCAGACTTCTCTCACTTCTACACCTTCCTCCCAGCTGATGACCTTGACTGCCTTCTCACTGAGATCTACCCATGGTCTCACCATCTGGCCACCCACTGGACTTCTGTTTTGTGCCAGTGGATGAAGGGCCCATGCTCTTAATGAAGGCCTATACTCCACAGACCAGGCCATCTCTGCTTCTCTCACCTCTAGTCTTTCCCCTCCCCCCATAGGCACATTTATCCTTCTCTGCTAGACCCTTTCCATCAAAGAAAAAATTTTTGGCCTCACACCCACTCCAGCTGTCACCTACAATCACTGTCTCCACTTGCTCACTTCCTCATCACCCTTTAGTTTGTGTCATCTGGCTTCTGTGTCCAGTGCTCCACTGAGATTGATCCAGCCAAAGCCCCAGTAAATTCCAAGTCACAACATCCCATGAGCACATCCCTATCTTATCTTCACTACTCTTATGATAGGATAGGACCAGAGCAGTTGACCTGTCCAGTTAACCGTTAGATCCCCAATACCAAATAGAGTTCACATAAGGGATGATCAATAAATATATGCTAAATGAATGGAATAAATGAATAAAAGGGTTTTAACAACATTCCAGAGTGTTCTAGATCATGGTTACTAACAGTGGTTTCCCAGGGCAGTAATTCAGGGGCTTCCTTTTCCCTTCAGCATCAATACTCCCTTGCAGCCCAGATTCAATCAGCACAGACTGAACACTTGCTATGGGCTAGGGACTAAGACAACTACTCTCACACATTTTATTCAGTTTGACCATCCAAACAACAATCTTCAAGAATGGGTCTTATTATCAAAATGACCCTTGTATCATTTCATCATCATTTTATCCAGTTTTCTCCCTAAGTAGTATTTTCTTCCCAGAGATACAAAGCAAAATAAAAACATAGGTTTTGGCACAAGACCTGGGTTCCAATCTTTGTTCCATCATTTATCAGCTGAGTGACATTAAGGAAGCTAATTAATCTCATTGACTCTCTCATTCTTTACCTATAAAAGCAGGGTTATGAGAAATGGTAACCCCTTCTACTTACCTTCCAGGACATCCTAAAGCTTAAATAAGATAATATGTATGAAAGCAGATCCAATGTTATTTGGCCATAGGAAATGACTAGTGCATATAATCCCCTTTCTCCATTTCTAAGCACTCCAATAATCTTGACCCTGGTCATAAAAGGAACAAGTCCTGGTTACACAATGAACTACCTGTTCTTGGTCAAGTGTTTTCTACATCGTGGGCAAAGTCTTCTCATCTCCATTTCAGTTCTCATAGCTAACAATTCCAGGGCTGTGCTGTCCAATAGAGTAGTCATTAGTCACAGAGGGTTATTTACAATAAAATTAAAAAATCTCTTCCTCAATTGCACTGGTAATCGTCAAATTCTCACTAGCCAACGAGGCTAGTGGCTACCATATTGAACAGCGCAGCTGTAGAAAATGAAAAATCAGACATAATTCCACTCTCCCTACCAGGAATAAAACAGTGCACGTGTTCTGTTGATAAAAAGCAATGTCTGATTTTTAACAGCTTCCCTCATCCCTGCTTGTATATAAGAATGTATCATCTGCCATCACTCCTACCCCAGCATCTTCCTTAAGTCCGTTCAGTCTCCACTGGTCAGCAGATCAGAAGACCTGGGTTTGCCCTTAGTTATGCCCAATATGATATGTGGCCTGAACTTCTTGGGGGTTCCTGAACTTCTGGGGGCTCTCAGGTTCTTCTCATAGAAAATTGGGTTTGGGCTTGAAACTCTTTGAAGTTCTTTGCAATTCCAAAGCAACGAGTTTATAATTACAATTTGTATAAAAAAATAAGAATGGACCACCACCATCCATCACTGCTAGCTCCCAAAACATAGATACTTGCAAATTAACAAAGAACTACACTAAGCTGAAAATTGTGATATGGCATCATGTTGCAGATGGGCTACGCTACTTCATCCTTCCAAACCTTTGGCAGGAATCTAAAATGGTGCAGCCACTATGGAAAACAGTCTGGCAGTTCTTCAGAAAGTTAAACATAGACTTACCAATCCTACTCCTAGGCATATACCCAAGAGAGTTGAAAACATATGTCCACAGAACGTGTATGTGAATGTTCATAGTAGCATTATTCACAAAAGCCAAAAAGTGGGAACAACCAAAATTTCCAACACCTGATGAATCATTAAACACAATGTGGTATATATAATCAAATATTATTTGGCTATAAAAAGGAGTAAGGTTCTGATAGACACTACAACATAAATGAAACGTGAAAACATTATGCAAAGTGAAAGAAACTATGCATAAAAGAAAGACATTATATGATTTCATTCAACTATGAAAGGTTCAGGATAGGTGAAATAAAGACAGAAAGTAGATAGTGATTGCAGGGTCTGGGGTGAAGAGGGAACCAGGAGTATCTGCTCATTGGGACAGAATTTCTTCCTAGGATAATAAAATTGTTCTAGAACTAGATAGTGGTGATTGATACCCCAATTTGTGAATATACTCAAAACCACCGAACTGTTCACTTTAAAAGGGTACCTTTTATGGTATGTAAAATCCTCTTATGGGTTGTGAAATGTATCTCAAGAAAGTTGCTATTAAAGCAAGCATAAACTAAAGACGAGAAAACCTTTCGGAGGTAGGTGAGAAAACACCAGTGTGTTGTCAGCTACTTCTTTGCCATTAACATACGGAGTGGGTTGGAATTCAGGGACATTCTTTTCCCAAGGGACTGCCTTGCTTCAGAATGGTTGCTAAATGAATTTCTCTAGGGATATTATACTTTTGTCCTTGAAAAAAGAAAGAAAGAAATGTACTTTCTTAGTTTAAAAACCATTCTCATATCACAGCAGCTGTCTGCAGCACAATGTATTCCTCCAAGTCTCTGACAGCTAGAACAATGTCTTATTTATAATACATCAACCCAAAAGAATGGGCCCATTGCCAACACCTTGGGATGCACACCAAATGGAAATTGTCTTAGTTCTGCATCCAAAGTGTTCTTGTTTGAGTTCAAGGTCACTGTGGTCTCTTATGGAGAAGTCATCTGCCCATTCTAAGAAGGCTCTGCTTTATGCTATCCCAAATCCTCAATGATTATAACAAGGATAGCATTGTAGAATCAAATGGAAACATGTAAGTCACTGTCTGGGCAAGTAAGTCTAGTTACAAGTAAGTATACCCAAACTTTCCCAGTCTTTTATTGAAGACTTGCTTCCTCTGACCTCTCTAACTCTCCCACAAGTCATGGGTCCCTTTTGCCTGTTCTCTTTCAGGTCCTCCTTCTACTCTGCCTTCTAACTGCTTTTACCTTGATCTAGGCCCTCATTTCCTCTTACTCTGAACCCTGCAATATTTGCTAGCTGATCTCCTTGCTTTGACTTGAGTCCATAGATCCATCCTCCACACTCTTTGCTATCATATTCCTGAAAAATGGATCTACTGATGTCATTCTCTGGCTCATCTAGCTTCTCATTGCCTTCAGGATCAAAGTTAGATTCTTCGGCAAGTCACCCGTGACCTTCCATGGTTGTCCCAGTGAATAACACATACAAGGGATCAAAAATATTAGTGGACTGAGTGCCCTGAATAGAAAGTGGCACCTGCCACTAGAACCTTTTGAGGAGTGAAAGCAAGATAGGAGGCGCATGGGGGTGGTGATCAGGGGCCCAATATTTTAGGGTCCTGGAGGTGATGGTCAGGTTTTGGACTTTCTTTACTTTATCATGGTCACTGACTGGAAGGTTTTATGCAGGAAAATGAGTTGCAAAATTCTTCTATTTCCATAATCTGGAGATGGGAGTAGAAAGATTAATTGAGGATAATGAATGTGTGTATATGTGTGTGTGTGTGTGTGTGTGTGCGTGTGTGTGTATGTGTGCGTCTGCAGACGAGTTGTGGCTGGGCACAGAGGGAGCCCCCTATCTAGTAGTATTGGGTTATATGAGGGTTCACTGAACCTGTAGACACAATGACAGAAACTTGCTTTGAGGCAGGTTCCAGCCCCAACTATGAGGCTAACTGTCCATCTATGTTTCTTTCCAAGTCAAGGGTTCTAGGAGTCCAGCACACTATGCGTACACTTAACAATCTGAACTCAGGCCCCCAGTATCAAAAACAAAAAAAAAGCAGTCTGTTCTAGAAGCTCAAGTAGTGAAAAGACCATGGGCTTCGAAGGCCTCCAGATGTAGTTGACACTGGTTCAGTGTCAGAGCCTGACTCTGCTAGCTTCTCTGAAAGTAGCCTGGGAGTACAAACCATTCAGCCTGGCTCCAGGTGTGGACTCTGGGCCACTGGCTCGGCCCCACCCCAGGGGCTCCTGTTTAGGATGCATTTACCATCACACCTCCATCAGAATTGCTGAAAGTGGAGGCCAGATCTACCTTTGCACAATATCCCCATTGAGTCTGATGCACCTTAAATCTTCTGACTTATCTCATAGGGTAACTGTGAGGATTAAATGAAATTTGAACTCTAATGCTTAGAGCATAGTGGACATCCAATGCATATTAATTTCCCTCTCCCTTTTCCATAACCATGGAAAAAGGTTCTTATTTTTCTCTGAGATCTTTAGTTCAATCTCCCACCTCTGAGAACACGAAACAGCATCTCTGGGTGACCAGAGGACTCTTCCTGCTGTCCTCTTCCGCATTTCCTTTCCTGGAGTCCAGAGTAGTCTCTAGGTGCAGGCCATGCCCAGGTTGGAGGAGCATCCAATATTTCAGAGTGGCTCATTGTGTGGGCTGCCCACTTCCTCAACCCACTGATCCTGCTCACACATTGATTGGACCTTTCCTTATCAGCCACTCCATGCTGGCTAGCTGGGAAGCCCTGACTGCACAGAGGAATCACCTGGGGGGGAGCACCAAATATACTGACGCTGGCGCCCCAGCCCTGGGATTCTGACTTAATTAGCTTGAGGAGTGGCATAGGAATCAGATTATTTTTTCTTTCTTTTTTTTTTTTTTTTTTTGAGAAAGGGTCTCACTCTCACTCTGTCACCAAGGCTGGAGTGCTGTGGCACAATCTCTGGTCACAGAAACCTCCATCACCTGGGTTCAAGCAATTCTCCTGCCTCAGCCTCCTGAGTAGCTGGGATTACAGGCACACACCACCATGCCCAGCTAATTTTTGCATTTTTAGTAGAAACAGGATTTCACCATGTTGGCCAGGCTGGTATCGAACTCCTGACCTCAGGTGATCCACCCTCCTCGGCCTCCCAAAGTGCTGGGATTATGGGCGTGAGCTACCACGCCCAGCCAGAACTGTTTAAGCTCCCAGATAATTCTAGGGTGCAGCCCAAACTGGGGACCACTGCCCTGAAGAGTGTTCTCCAGGGAACCATGAGGCCACAGACACGAATACAGACCGCAGGAGAGATGGCTGGTCATGCCCTGAGCATTCAGGTGAGTCCCCACTTGCCTGAAGAAAGGAAAAGAGACGACTGATTCATAAAACCTCCATGTCGCCACCAGGTCAATCCTGTTGGGGTTGGTAGCATAATACCTCCAGGCAGCCTGAGGGGCAGAAAAGAGGGGCAACAATGAGTGGGCACCTCCTGAAACTTTCGCACAGAATCCCACACCATCAGAACAACGTTTAAGCCCTGGACTCCTAAGAATTTGAATGTGCATTGAGTCAACATGCAGAAAAACCGGGATTTTTGGCTTTTTGAAGCTACTTTGGGAAGAAATACTTCCTGACCATCTGGGAGCTATAATTGGTGTTGTGGTGAGTGGGGGAATGGAGAGATGAACTGGAGTAGAGGGAGAGGAGTGGTAGGCACAAAATCCCTGAAAGGAACAAGTAGCAAAGGCCGGTGCGATGGCTCATGCCTGTAATCCCAGCACTTTGGGAGACCAAGGTGGGAGAATCGCTTGAGGCCAAGAGTTGGAGACCAGCCTGGGCAACATAATGAAACTTCATCTCTACAAAAAAAAAAAAAAAAAAGAACAAAGCTGGGCATGGTGGCACGTGCCTGCAGTTCCAGCTACCTGGGAGGCTGAGGTGGGAGGATAAATTGAGCCCAGGAGGTCGAGGCTGCAGTGAGCCATGATTGTACCACTGCACTCCAACCTGGGTTGCAGAGTAAAAGACTCTGTCTCAAAAAAAAGTAAACAATAAAATATTTAAAAATAAAGAGAAACAAGTACCACTCTTTCCAGAAGGTTCCCTGAGACTTCTCAGTCAAACAGATAGGAGAACAGAGTCTTTTGTACCATTTCTGGGTGCAAGAGAGAGCCTAGGAGACGTTTTGACACAAATATCCTAGAATCTCTAGGATTCTCTGATGGTTTGGGGTGTGGGGAGTTAATGGGACAGGCTCTTGGAAACTGGGACTGGCCTAAGAACCATAATATGCAGGATGACATCACGCACCATCTTGAATCAGGCACACAGAACCACACAGACACTCGCTATGACTGGAGAAAGCTCACGAGTGGGTGGCCATGCCCTCGCAAGCAGACAGCTGTTGATAGGACACTCTGCTTTCCTATTCACTGTGCCCTCATCTCCAATAACCCATTAAAACAAAGCGGGAACTCTCTCTGAAATGTAACAGGGAACACTTCTGCCTCTCTCATCACCTCTCACTGCTCCCTGCAACCCCCAGCCCATGTGAGGCTAGTGATGGAGACAGAAGGCTGGCAGTTGCATGTCCAACATCCTCTGGTCCATGGTTGTCTACTGGGCAGCACAAATGGGAAAAGTGGTTTAATATTTTGCACATGTAATGCATCTCTTTCTCTCTTAGCTTATGGGATCTCTGTTTGGCAGATATGACAGAGACTGTTCTCCTTGTAGCTGATTACCTAAGCACCTGGACATTAGGCTGACTCTTCCCTGTGGGTCCCTAGGTCAAATCTGAGGGGAAGTAGAAGAAGAAAGCCTAGTACAGCCGGAGGTCCACACCAAATTCTCATCTCCAGCACACTATCAGTAAAAGAGCTGGGGCCAGGTGCCACAACTCATACCTATAATCCCAGAACTCTGGGAGGCCGAAGCAGGAGGATGGCTTGAGTGCAGGAGTTTGAGACCAGCCTGGGCAACATAGTAAGACCTCATCTCTACAAAAAAATAAATTTAAAAAATTAACCAGGTCTAGTGGTGCACATGGTGGTGCACGTGGTGGTGCATGCCTGTAGTCCCAACTACTCAGGAGGCTGAGGTGGGAGGATTGCTTGAGCCTGGGAGATGGAGACTGCAGTAAGTTATGATCGCACCACTACACATCCGCCTGGACAAGAGAGTCTCAAAAAAGCTCAAAACACCACCATATCAAAAAAAAGCTGACAGGTTGATCCTTGAGTTCTGTGTCTACTTCTTGCTTGGCTTAGAAACTGAATGAGTGACAGGATTGTCACCTTCAGTACACAGAGGAACAAGTGAAATAGACACCCATGGAAATGCCCATAGCCACCCACAAGTAAGCATGTGCAAGCAGGCCTGCTCCTGCCTGGGCACATTAATACACACATACACACACAGAGACACATAAGACACACAGACACACATGAAATCCTGGGTCCTGTCCCAGTTCATGAGTATGTCCCCTCCACATGTGCACACATGCACACACACACACACACATATGTGCAAATGCATGGATCTTAATCCCATTCCAGTTCATTCCCAGGCAGACAGACCTGAATGAGCTCAGCAGCTGGCTTCCTCCTTTTCTCAAAGTGCTTCTGACGGTGTTGCTCCTGCACCTTGAGGGCCAGCCCAGACCCCAGGATGCCCTGGAGGGAGAGGCAGGCAGGAAGTCAGCCCCCAGCTAGACTCTCCCAGCATTCCCGCTCCATTGCCAGGGTAATGGGGACTGTAGGGCTGAACTGTACTCCAAGTCCCTGCGGTGACAACATTGTACAAAGAGGGAAGGGAGAAAGAGCCCTTCCTTCTCTTGAAGAGAGTAGGGAGCTTGGTTAAGTGAAATGAGCCTTGAAGTCAGGAAGACCTGGGTTCCAATTCCGACACTGCCACTTTCTGGGTGTGAGGGCCTGGGCAAGCCCCTTAGCCCTGTTGCATCATGTTTTTTTTTTTTTTTTTCCTACAGGGATGTGGGATAATAATACCTAATGCATGATTTTGTTAAGAAAAAAGTGAGATAATGTGTATAAACTGCCAGTAAGGGGTACCGCACAAAATAGATGCCCAGTAATGTTAATTGAGTTTTAAAAATATTTTAGCTGCTTGAACTCTCACTTCATACTTTGACTATAGCCAGAACTTCCCAGAATTGGGACCTGTTTTGATTTTCAGTTCAGACTTGCCAGTGGATTAAGTGGCCAGAAACACACTCTTTTCAAGCTGAAAGAGAACTTGAAGATCTTGTAACATTCCTATGGTCCTGACTCATCAATGAGAAAACTGAGATTCAGGAAGGTCATTTGCTCAAGGTCAAATAGCTTAGGAAAAAAAAAAAATCAGACAAGGTAGGGCTGTGAATAGAGAAAGAACATTGCCAGTGCAAGAATGGAAGATGAAGTGGGTGGCAGGGAGATTGTTACTTAAAAGTTTTTTCAAGCTTCGTGATTAAGAGCCAGGGTTTAGAACCAGTGGACTTGGGATTCCTGGCTCTACAACCCAATAGCCTTGTGACTGTAGAAAATGTACTAACCCAATTAAGTCTCAGGTTTTGCATTTGAAAAACTGAGATTAAAAACAGAACCCAACCCATAATGTTGCCATGAAGATTAAATGAAATAATGTGAGTAAAGCATTTGGCATGATTCAGGCACATAGTGTGTTCAACAAATGCAATCTGTTTTCATTATTATTACATATCTGGACACCAGGCTTTGGGGAAGTTACTCTATCATATATAGGTCAAGGCTTATTCTTGAGAGAAATGTGTTTTTTACATAAGCCAGTAAGTAACAGGACAAGAAAAGGGAGCTCACATAAATGAAGGCCCTCTTCTGTGCAAGGCACTGGGAATGCATGAATGAAAAATATAATCCCAGAACCCAAGGAGTTCACAGTCCTCTGGGGGAGTCAGATCTGGAAATGTGTAATCCTAGCATAAGGCCAGAAACTCCTTTACATAAATATTCCCAGGGTTACGCCCAGAGCGACTAACTCAGCCTAAAGAAGGCAGCATTGAAAGAGGAGTTGATGTTTGAAGAAATTTTTGGCAAAGGAAAGCAGCAGGGCCCATGGCAGAAAAGCAGGATCATCATGCTTAAGGGAATGGCTAGGGAGTTGGTAGGGTATGAGAGGACAGAAGATGAGACTGGAAAGCTGAGCTGGGGCCAGGTGGTAAGGGGTCCTGCACGTCACATTGGGGATGTCATATATCAAAGGTACTTACTGCTGGAAGGGCAAAAAAGGAGACGCCAATTAAGGAAAAGGTGGCAGCAATCAGACGGCCTTCCCATGTTTTGGGTGTCTTGTCTCCATAGCCAATGGTGGCCAGTGTGATCTGAAGAGAGAAGAGTTCAGACATGGAGTACCCCATGGAGAGGAATTTCAGGAAAATGTCAACTGAGCTCTACCTGTAAGCCTCTCTATCAGCTTGGGCAATGCTCCCATTTATAACAAGGTTCCCTCAGGAGAAAAGACACCAAGTACCTAGTAACTTATATGGATGCCTTGAGACTTGTTGATAAGTTAAGGGTTTCCTACCTTAGCCAATCAGTCAACAAATATTTCAATAATTACAAATGTGTATGTACACGAGCATTCATGTGTGTGTATATTTGCAAATTTGTGATTTTATTTATAGCCATGTTTGTGAATATATGTGTGCTTGTGAGTATATTTGTATGTACTGTATATACATGCGTGCATGTCTAATGTCTGTGTATGTGTCTATTCTGGTGTGTTTAGTATATTCCTGTGTGTGTTTACATGTTTATGTTATCAGTATACGTGTACTTATGTGTGTGTATCTGCATGTAAAAGGCAGGATTATCAGAGCAGTTGACAGTGTGGCCTCCGGAGCCTAACTGTCTGACTTCAAATCCCAGGTTAGCCACTTACTGGCTGAAAGACCATGAAGTTACTTAACTTCTTTATGCCTCAGTTTCCCTATTTTTAAAAAGAGCTAATGATAGAAGTTGTTTGAGTTTATAGTAGGTTAGTGAAAGTAAAGCACCCAGAGACATGCTCTGGAGCAAAGCAAGCCTTCAGTGAATGCCAGCTTAAGTACTGTGTGTCCTTGTGGGTGTACGGTTGTGCACACACAGGTCTGTGTGAGCACACATGTGTATCTGTCACTGGGTTTGTTTGCACAAGCATGGCTTGGCTGAAAATAGCCTATGACTGGTAAGACTAGGTCCCTAAACGACCATGCAACCAGGCTGTTCCAAGCCCCGGCTTCTTATAAATGCTAGAGAAAAGTCAATTCCAAGTGCACGCCCTGAAGGAGGGTCTCCTGTCAGCAGGTTCCAAGCTGAAACAGGTCTAGCTCTTACTTCTGACTGCAGAATGCAGCTGCCTGGCTGAACATGCTCATGTGATGCCCTCTACCTCTCTCTGACTCTGATGGTCAATCCTACAGAGTTGGCCTCCAAGGTAGTGACTCACCAGGCCCCACCACAGGGCATCTGCATAGGTCTCAAACTCCTCTTTCATCTCCTCTCCTTGTGCATCCACCTCTGGGACATCTTTCTCAACCAGGTAGACAAGAAATGAAGAAAGGATGAGTGTCAGGAAACCGATGTACCAGGCGGTGATGAGTTCCTGAAAGAATCAGCAGTAGACATGAAAATTGGTCACTGGGGAGTCATTGAGTGGATGCTGGAGCCAGACACACCAGAGTTGGAGTCCAAGTTCACCAGCTCTGTGACTGTGGCCAAATCACTCACCTTCTCTGATCTTCATCTTCCATCACTGTAAAATGGGATCAGTAACATGGTAGTTATTTCATCACTAATTAACAGAACAAGTGTATGGCTCCAAGAGGAGAGGAAGATTTCTAGCTAAGGGCCACTTCAATATCACACCTCAAGAGGCTTCAGAGGAAGGCAAGACGGCAGGAGGAAGTGGCTGCTGCTTCTGATATAAGACTCAGGACTCAGGAGACTCGGGTCTATGCAGGACTGTGTGGAGCCAGGAGAAAGCTCAGTACAACCAGGAAAGCAGCAGCAAGCCAGAGGCAGCACTGCATAGTGGACAGGGCTGTGGACAGAGACCCAGCCCTGACACCAGTTTATGGTGTGGCCATGGGCAGATTCTCCTCTTCTCCTAAATGTTAGTATCCTCATTTTTTACATGAAGGGACAGAGTCACAGAGTTCCTGAAATCGTCATGTGTACGACTGCTGAAATGCAGCTTTACATTAAATATTGATTTAGAGCCTATGCAAAAGAAGCAAAAGAAGGCATACAGCCTGTAATTTCATGGATATTGTCACATAATAGACTAGGACATATGACTAAGTAAACAAGAGTAAGGTGATTTAATGAAAAGTGCTAAGTAATAGTCAGGATGGTATGGACGGAAACTTCAATGAAGTTTCAAAACTCCTAATGGAGACAAGACCTAATGCTCCTTCCAGCTCCAACTTTCTCTCTTTCTGTCATTCTATTCCAGTTTCAAGGTTTATCATAGTAGGTTGGGCAGGAAGAAAGGCAAGGTTATGGGTAAACACAATACGGAGATTTAAGACTGTCTGTCATTCTTGCTGAGTCATCTCAGAGAACAAAGTTGTTCACATTGGTATCTTTCCTATATCTGACCATCTGCAGTCAGTCAACTGGCCCTTCTGGGCCAGCAGAATCTTCCTGACAGGGTTGCTTCCTGCCTCCCTGCAGGACTTGGCTCACATGGGTCCTGCAGTCTGAATAGCCCTCCCACAATGGGACCAACCAAAGAGCATGGAGTCATCTTCAGACTCATGTCAACTCATGTCACCTCCACTATGAAATTTTTCTAATGTTTGTTTCCCCCATGAAAGATAGAGTTCAGCTGTGGTTCCTTTATTCCCTCCCCATTTTCTAAACATACTTCTCCAAGCCTCCAACATTTTATTATGCTCACTTGCTATTATGCTCTGGCCTTGCCCACAGCATCACACACACGTTGTACTGGTGTGAGTTTGTTCTATAGCAGAGGGGTTTGCTTAGATAATACAGGCAACCCAGCCAGCCATTCCCTTTGATGAGCGAGGTTCTGTGCTGCAGGGAATTTGAGAACGGAAAGGTGCACGGACTAGTCCTTCCCCAGTGATCGCCTGAGCGTAAGCCTCTTGTTTGTGGAGTATGATCCTACTCCTTATATGTTTTTTCATACCCTCTGGTCCCCAAATGCAAGTCAGAAGTTTCATCTGACACTTAAGCAAAGAAATAGTTGTCTGTTTCTGTGTGCACATAAAAACTGACTATTCTAGATTAATAAGGGATGGTATAACAGTCACCAAAAAGGAGTGAAAGTGGGTCCTAATTCTGTACTTTATAGTCATTTACTTTGCAGTTATTCCAAATAATTCTGACTTTATACAATTTTTGCCAGCAGCTCTGTGGCAGAATCTGTGACTGTTCCCCAACAGGTAGCTCCTGAACCTGCTGAGGCTCCCCTGCAGTCAAGTTGAGGCTAAGGTACTGGGGTTCAGCCAATATGGGAAAGTGATGAGAGTGAATCCCTCCTTGTCCCTTAAATCCATTCTGCAGGATTCTCCAGGTTCCTCTCCCCTGCTTTGGTGACTCAAGTCCTCATATTCAAGACGGATGGGGCCCACCCAGCACACATCAGATACAGTGTGAGCCAGAAGATGTCTAGGTTTTTGTGCTGGGTGGTGGGAACTCTAGGGCTCATTTATTTTGGGAGGAGAACCTGACCTATCCTCTAGTGAAAGCATTAACTTTGAAAGTTTAACCCTGTGCAACAGAGCCTCCCACACTTCATCTTTGAGTGCCCAGAAGACCCAGCCATTGAACCCGGCCCAGAGTACAATGAAGAAATGAATGAAGAAATGAATTGATAAATGTCCATTTGCCGGTACTACTGGTGATTCCCTTGGGGAAGAGCTTCCTCCCCGCTTTGGTAGCACAGGCTTTCAGGAGGACTCACAACATGTACTTTGGAGTCTAACAAGAGCTTGTAAATCTAAGTTTGTATGCAGAGAACTCTGCTCCAGAGCCTTTCCCCACTCCTGGGAAAGAGTATCTGCCTCACTGGGGTCTGGCTGCAGTGCAAGACCATATTTACTGAGGAATTACATCACAAACTTCCAATGGTCTCTGGTAATTACATGGCAAAAGCCAGCAGGCACTGGGGATCTGTTATAATCTGGAGGAACACAGCACAAGGGCCTAAACCAGCAATTTCTAGCACCAGTGTTGACCAGAACTGTGAATCAACTCAGCTCCATGGATACGGGTTATGGCTGAACCCATAGGGGTTTTATTAACGTGTCCTTTGATAAAAGATAAAATAGAAGGTCAGAAGGAAGAAAAGGGCCTGTAAAGGATGCTCTGACCTCAATGATTCTGCAGCCAGAAGCAGCACAGACGAAAAATAAAACACAGATGGCAAGAAATTGCATTCTAAGCTGAAAGATTCCCAGGTATTTTATACTTTCACTCCATTTTATGTCTATACTTATATGTATGGTATGTGGGGAACAGCATATTCAGAATAATAAACATTACTATTAATGAGCACCTATGACTTACCAGGCATTTAAATGCACCTTTTCTCGCATGAGCACCCAGGAGGATTCACATTTTTACCACTGAGGAAGCTCATAAAAATAGAATGACATCTTTAAGGCTTTCTGGCTGGAAGGTGGCAGAGCTGAATTTTGAGCCAAGTTGCCGTCTGACTCCCAAGCTCATATTCTACTCTGAGATGCGATCTCATAGGAAACCACTACCCCTTCAACGTTATCTAGGCGCATCCTTGAGACAGAAGAACCAGGGGTTGTGTGGGTATGTTTTGGAGGTGTCCAGCTACAGGTGGCATGGTCACGTTAACATGCATAAGGAAAACTCTAAGCTCCTTAATGTTAAATTGCCCAGGGCTCACTGCCTCAGGTCCAGCTCCCCAGAAACAGAACCCGAGAAAGGGATTTCAGTGTTAGTGACACATTTGCATTTCATCATTGAGGAAATGGTCACAGGGCTCCTATTAAAAGGGACCTAGGTGGGACAACAACAGCATCTATTATGCCTCCCATGGTGGGTGCAAGAAGATACTCTCTTGGGAAGCAAGGTAAACTTGGCTTTGTACCCCCAAAGAACATCCATCCCAGGGATTTCTCCTTCTGATTTCTCCTCTCGGGATTTTTTTTCTGCCTGAGCTGAGACACAGGGGTTTTTCTTCATTCCTCCAGAATCCAGTTAAAGCAGCTAGATTAAAACAAAGTGCTACCAAAGACCTGGGCTAAGAATAGGAAAGAAACACAGGCAGTACCATGAATCCAAATGAACTGGATTCTGGCTGCTTGGGTTCCACACCTGCTCAACCACATGGGGCTCTGGAAAAGAAATGGACTGAGTTCCACCCCTCCTGGATTCTGATCTACTTGGGAGAGGTGAGCACCACCGTAGCCAGCAGGAAACCACTGGACACAGACCCTAGAAGTGGACTGCTATGGTTTGTGTCCCACTGTGTGACCTTGAGCAGGTACTTCCTCTTTCTGTGTTTTCTTCCTTATCAGTGTAATGGGGTGGCAATAGTGCCTGATTCATGAGGTGAGTTAGTCCTTGTCAAGCACTAAGTTGTAGGCACTGTGCTTTGGGCTTTATATAATGCTTGCAACTGGACAATCTCTATGAGCTGGGTACCTTCTCAGTGCTCGTCACATATCAATTCATTTCATCTTCATCTAACCCTGTGAGGTCAGTGCATTATTATTCTAACTTTATAAATGCAGAAACTGAGGCACAAAAAATTCTCAACGTCACAGAGGCAGAGTTCAGATTCAAACCAGCCTGTGTGATTCCCAAGCCTTTTTCTCCCGCTGCATGTGGCCTTGAATGAGCTCATTCCATCCTCTCAAAACTCGGAAGGAATAGGCATTATCATCCCTATTTTAAAAGTGAGAAAACTGAGGGCCAAAGAGGGCTGAGCAAGTTGGCCAAAGTCATTTGCATATGGTGGAGCCGATACCTAAGCTCAGCTCCACCTGTTCCTGCTCCCTGCACCACACCTGCTCATGCCCCCACCCCAGCCCCGTCGCTTCCTGTTCCTCCTCCTCCTCTTGCTCTTTGTCGTTATCATCAAGGGTGGCAGAATGACTGCCTTCTGGGGACACTGTAAAGGAAGGGATGCCATGGAAGGGCACAGGTGGGTGGGAAGCCCATGTGGTCTTGTAGCTTCTCCACCACACTTACTTTGCTGTGGGCACAGATGGCCGAGCCCAGAAGCTTCCAGGTGCCGCCTCTCCGGTCCATCCGCAGCATGCGCAGGATCTGCAGGAAGCGCAGGCTTCGCAGGGAGGTGGCCAGAACATTGCCTTGGTTTCCCACAGCAACCACTGGCACAGAGGCAATCAGCACAAAGATGTCTGGGAGAGAGGACAGACAGAGTGGGAGGGAAGAGGGAAAGGAAGGTCAAGCGAAAGCACTGGCATCCTCATAGGTGTTGTTTGCTGGCAGATCAGCATGTGCCAAGCAGTGGGACAATCTGAGCATTGCTGTTGAATCTTGCCACCAACCACACATGGTAAGTGAGATTATTCCCTCGTGACTGATGAGGAAGCTGAAGCTCTGAGCCTGAGTGCCTTTCCAAGGCCACCTGGCCAGAAGTAGTTGGGTTGGGATTGGAAATAGGCCTACCGCACTTTAATGCTGGCTGCAGAGCAGCAATTCACCAAGGCCCCCCGCAGTGTGGTCCTTGAGATTCACTCTGGGGCCCCCAGAGGAGATCTGCAACTGCTCAGTCTATGGAGGTGAAGCCTGACACTCAGACACTGTTTCCATTTGTGTTTCTCCTAAAAGCATCACCTGAGGTAGGAACTTGGGTTCAAGTAACTTACTGGAAGATGATCTTAGGAAGTAGAAGTGATGGCAGAAAGAGAGAGAATGTAAAAAAACACAGACACACACACAATGTAAGGTGGTGTTATCGAGGTCACTGTTGAGTCCTTTGAGTTGTAGACAGACTTCCCAAGATTATCCATCTGAAAAACGGAAGGCTGGGACATCTGTTTCTTGCCTCCTGCTGGTTGAGGGTCATCCATAGCATTGTCAATGCCCCCACACATCTGAGCTACACTGGAGAGAAGGCCTTGGGGTAGATTGTGGAAAGAAGATAGGCTCAGCCATGACGTGGGATGCTGGTAACAGGAGATGGCATGAAAATGTCCACTACAGACATTTCAGAGATGGAACAAGGGGACGAGACACTTGAGATGGTTAAGTAGGCTCTTGACATCAAATCATCTAGTATGGAAGAGGGAGGAACTGATCTCTTTTCTATTTCCTTGTTGTAGTCAATTCCCATATCAATTATCACCCTACTTTCCTGCAGAGAGTTACCAAGTAAAAAGGACCACATGGCCAAGTAAATTTGGGGAAAAACTCCATTAAGTTCGTTTTAAAAAATTATTAGTGTTATTTATTTTCAGTGTCATTACTTTTTTTTATTGAAACATAATAATTGTACATATTTATGTGGTTTGCAGGGCTTCGCAGAGTCTTTAATCTGCAGATACACACTGTGGTTCTCAATTATACAAGTAAAGTATAGTCTTTCCCAAAATATTTTGACCACAGAACTACTTTTTTGCAAGGGCTCTAAGGGTTCCAGGAAATACACTTAAAGAAATATTTGTCCACTGGGAAAAGTCCAAGCTCTGCAAAGCCCTCTGTGATCTGGCTCTTGGGAATCTGCCAGAAGCCTTTGTAGTTCATTGAGCACATATCTCCATATCTTCGTGTGTTCTGGTCTCTCAGCTTGGAATAACCTCTTCAACTCATATCAAGTCACATTTGCCAAAAAGCTGATGTCTTTCCTACCTTGTTAAAGTATCCCCCAGGTGTACCTGACCTTTGGAAAAACCTAGGGGTCAAACCTCTGGATACTGATACATCTGCATCATTTGCCAGGCTTCTCAGATTATCGGTGCAAAACTATCCATCTATAATGCTTGTAGAGAAAACAAAAGACCGCCAAGATGTGTAGTAAACACTATGGTCTAAGACGCTCCATGAGGCATTTCTGAACCATTTTTACTCAAAATGGCAGGGTCTGAGACTGCCTTGAGCATGAAGGCCATCATGTTCATGGGCGTGATAACCATACTCTTCTCTAAAACAGAGAAAGACAACATTTCCCATAGGGCCACATTATGGAAGAAGTGGATGTGAGTACACTGGAAAACATGGCAACACTAAGCAAGGACCGTGTGATACTGAGGCCCATCCTCATCTCCCCAGGGAGGGTGGAGGGGGACCTGGAGCTCTGTGACTGCAACTGATCTTAAAATAGTGGATATTGCCCCATGGGGGATGCACCTGTCCTGCAGGGGTCTGGGCTCCATCTGTTGGGATGTTCTCAAACTGGGAAGGAGTCCTTTTGAATGTGGGCACAGTCCATCATAAAGCTACCACCCACACACTCAGAACTTCTGGTCAGCCTTGGATCGGTCACGCCAAAGAAGAAAAATAAGCCTGCTTAATTGTATTGCACTTTGCAAAAAACTTGGAAGGAGGAAAAGGAGAGAGGAAAGAAAGAAAAGTGGGGATTAGATACTGAAAGAGGGCAAAGGAAGAGAGAAGAAATATGAAAAAATCATCAAAAAAGTCCTCCAACATTGCACACACACACACACACACTCACTCACATACCTCCCATACATTCAAAATGCTGAAAAAACCCCCAAACCTCATAAGTCCAACCTTAGCAGTAGATGGGAATAGGGCAGAGACTTCAGCTGGGAGTAGGCAAGACAATGCAACTCTAGGCTGCATGGAGAGAAGCCTGGCACCTGGGACAAAGGATATGGTCCAGCTCTTCTCTGAACTGGCTGTCCATCCCCGAATGACTGTGTTCAGTCTTGGGAATGAGTTTTCAAAAGTAAAGTGAAGAATGAGTAGCATGCTCAGAGCAGAGGGAGTACAATGCTGAGAATGCATGATGTAAGGTAAGTGGAAGCCACTGATAACATTGTTTCTTGGTAAAAGAAGACTCTTCTGGAGTGGAGAGGAGGAATAAAATGTCTAGACTCAAATACCTGAAGAGTGTCAGAGGAGTTAAAATAAGATAAATGCCTGGATAAGTGGTGAGCACCTTGTGACTAGGGGCACGCAAGCAGAGCCCAGGTGACCACTTAACTACTGCTGCTGGGGACTGGAGCATCAGACACAATGGTAAGTTGGACTAAATGCCTTTGGAGGTCCTTTCAGCCCTGACACTATGATCCTGTAATTCTAACCTTCCCATGGATTTGAAGCTCCAAGACTCCTATCCATCACTCAAGGAGATTTTGTTCTGTGAATCCACAGATTTTAGTCCACACTGAACTAGTAGGCTGGGGAGAGCGTCCACCCTCTCTACTATCAAACTGCCTGCACACAAATGGAAGGATTCCAGTGACACCTCTCAAAGCAACCATTGGATTAAGAAGCAAGACCACACCTGGGTGTTAGGACAGAATCCGCTCTTTCCTGCATGACTGAAAAATGACTCAGCTCTGTGATCCTCTGTTTCTATTTCTGTACAATGGACATAACGTGATGCTGTAGAAGTAGATTCTCAGCCAGCCATGGTGTCACGCCTACAGCTTCCATCCCAACCCGTCTGGAAATCTGTGGAGAACTTTGATTGTCACCGTGACTGGGGGTGCTACTAGTCCAGGGACTGTAACCGGCTTGCTGCTCCACAACCCAATTGCCAAGAGTGACACCCTCCACCGCCAATTAAGAATCCCTGCCCTGTGCAGTCCTTATGAGGACCAGTCACAGAAGGAGGAATCTGATGACCCGGAAGGTTGACACTGTCCCTTCTTATCTAGGCAGTGTCAGGGGCTGGGCTGGCCTCCACAGTGCCGCGTGATTTCCCAGAATAGCTGCTTAAACTTTTCTCAGAGAAACAATGCCCCAAAAGAAGAGAACTGAGGAGGCTGGGAGGCTCAGGGTCAGGACTTACCCAACATGCACAGGGGCTTCCTGGCAAACTTCAGTCGGCCCCGCCAGCCTTTGTATCGGCAGCAACACCCAGCAGCCCAGATCCTCAAAGCAAACTCAGCTCCAAAGATGAAAATAGCAAATGTCTCCTGCATGGAAGAGCATATGGAGAGGCACTGATTAACCAGGACCCACTTGTCGGGAGCTAGTGATTTCTATTCGGAAGTTCTGAAGAACTCCATTTCTGTGTTGTTGCTGGTTATCTGGTTGGCATGGATGGCTGGGGATGGGGGCGGGGAAGGTGAATGGGGAGAACAGGTCCGTCACCGCCATTCAGTTCGGAGGCCTCCCGTCTTCATTGTGATGTGCTAACTGTCCTTAATGCTGCTAAACCTGGCACAGTGATTGCTTGTTCTTTTTTCTATGTTTTTCTTCCAATAGATCATTTTAAAAGTCCCTTTAATGAATGAAAAGCCCCCAAGAAGTGCAGTCGGGTTGAAAAGAGAGATATCAGCGAACACAATCTATTAATTCCACCCAGTGCCTGTACCCTGGCGTTGCTAATTGTGGCTAATGGTTATTCAGCCTGGCCCCTGGGCCAGACAGCCCCCAAAGTGTTTGATAATATTACTCTCATCTTACATTTTGAGAAACCAGGGCACAGAGTAGTTAAACAAGCTTTTCAAGGCTATGAAGTGGAGAAGAAGGGATCTCAGGCTCAAGTAACTAGGCAGCAGCGCCCAGGAGCTTAAGCACTCTCCAGGATACAGGGTCTCCCTTTCCTTCTGCAACTCCCTTGATAATCAGACACCAATGCCTCTGCCTCTCTCTCTTTTGTGACCTCCCTGGGCCCCCTAAGGCACTGCTGCTTGACAACAATCCTCAGCGCCTAGTTCCTGGAGTTGGGTGCTTTCCAAGGAATTCCACACTGAGGTCTCAGCTCTGGGTCATGCCGTTGCAAACCCCTGCTCTCAGAAGGAAGTGCTGACTCTGGTGCCTTGATGGTTTGCCCAGTGTGAGAAGAAGTCTCCACTATTTTAAAAGCCCTAACTAGGGGCCACACGACTGCCCTGTGTGCAGGATGGAGCCTCACCCCATGCAGTTGGCATTGCCCTGAAGAGGCAGGGCTGACTCCTAGTCATGCAAGGGTGTGGTCATTCAAGGGGCCAGTTGACCAGTGCTGTCCTGCGGCTACAGAAGCAGCAAACCCTTGCTAGAGCCTCCTCTCAACAAGGCACTGAGGCTGGGCCCAGCCTATGTCTGCATTTGCTGCTCACCTGACCTTATATATTTTGGGCAAGGACTTGAGCAAACAGAGTCAGGGGTACATTAGCTGACTTGCCCAAGAATTCTAACTCTACTGTTTCCATGACACCACCTGATGGAGGACAGAGAGTGAAAACAAATGGGGGCCCCAGGAGGGGAGATTTAGAGGTTTTAGGTGTAAATGGAATTCTGCACCTGGCCTTGAAGAGAATGAGAGATCCTTGGAGTTTAGATTGTGGGATACCAGGAAAAAAAAGCAGACAGAGGTTTTAGAATAAAACATGCCTTTGTGTTAACTTTTAGCGGATTGGGAAGCTGTATTTTATAATTTAGTAACATGCACTGGTTTTTGCTTTGACTTTATTTCCCATTCTCACTGATGTGGAATAGCAAATCTTTACCAGGAATGCCATTCTTCACTCCACATGTGCCCATGGCGGAGTGCCCAAAGGGAGGCTTTGCTTTTCCTTGGGCCTGGACTTGACTGGAAGCTGCAACCAGTCAGAGAGGAGTGTACCCAAGGGCAACCTCCTTTTCATCACTGTGGAAGCCCAATCAGAAGCATTTACCCCAGAATGCAATCTTACCAGTAACAGAAGCCAGTCTCCCGAGACAGTCTCATACTCTTTGAAAGTGGTCAGGACAGCCAGAATCAAGCACCCAAGGACAATCAGGAACCTAGAGGGAAAGAAAGAAAGAGACTAAGGAACCTTTGAGTCATGTTTGCTTTGAGGCTAAGATGGGGAAAGGTGTCTTCCAGGATGAAGCTGCAACTTCCGCTGGACATTGACATGTGCTTTATATGCTATCCCATTCAATCTTCATAACAAACCTGCAAGGCAGGCAGAAACAATCATCCCAGTTAGACAAAACAAGGTGAGAGAAGTTGACCAATGTGCATACTTTTACTCAACCAGCTAGTTAGTAGAATCAGCTAGTTATAATTGAAACCAGATCATCTCGTTCCAAACTGGAGGACATTGCTGAAATTCCAAAAGTCAAGACAACTTTTCACAAGTCAATAAGAATATGAATTAATTTATAATGTGTTCTACACACATAGAACTGATTTAAAAATATACGAAAATGTTTTCTTAGAATGAAGAAAACACACATTTATTCCAAACATTGAAAAATTCAGCAAAGGCTTCTGTCACCAAGTATGAATATTGTTCATTTTTACAGTCAATTGATACAAAAGGAAAGAATCTCTTTCAATTCGGGATCTTTGGAATTGTTTTTGAAATGCTAGAAAGAAGAGGAACTACTACACTGAAGGATTCAGAATGCTGGTCCTTTAAAATTCACGGAGAGGTCACCTGGTTCATGCCCAGGCTCAGGCAGGAGCGAACTACAATTCTTTAAGAACGTTATCATCTTTATGAACTCTGTGAGAGGTGTGCGTGTGTGTGTGTGTGTGTGTGTGTGACACAGAGAGAGAGAGAGAGTACATGTTTCATTGTTTCACCAAGGAAAATGGTTCTCCCTCTTGGTGGAGAGTCTTTGGCTTAGTTGTCAGTACCAGGTTCCCTGGGTGTCCAATAGGGAATTTACAAGCTAGGGTTTATGGGTGAGGCCTGGTACTACATACTCTAAGCTCTCCTACTCCAGGTACTCTGGTTTTCTGCTCTACTTACGTTCTACCCATGCTTTTTTGACTTTTGTTCATTCATTCATTCAATATTTAAATGGCAGACACTGAGCATACAGAGCCGGAATTCAATGATGAATAAGCTGGATCTGTCCTCATAAGCTCACAGTCCAGATACACAGAAAGTTGTCTCATGGTGTGACCATAAGGACCATGATGTAAGGAGGATGGAAATGTCTCCTTCTGACCTTGGCTGGGACCAAGTTCTGCTTGTGACCCTTAGTGATCCTGATCATATTTTCTGATAAATAAACCTGCTGATCTTCAGACCTGAATCTCTGTGTCTCCAATCATGCCCAGGAACCCAAACAAGATCCCCAACTCCTTCCTGTGTTTGGCCATTTTATGTGAAATTCGACTTTGACCCATGTTTGATATCTGCCTCCCCTAAGCCCCAAATATTCACAGTTGATGATGATGATGGTGGAGGTGGTGGTGGTGGTGGTGATGATGATGGTGGTAGTGATGGTGATGGTTGTGATGACAGTGGTGGTGGTGATGATGTTGCTAATGGTGGTGCTGATGATGGTAACAACATCAGTAACTGTTACTACAACCTGCAAAGTTGGATATGACCATTCCCGTTTTAGAGATGAAGAAATTCATCACAAAGAATCACTACCATCAGGGTAACTATGTTGTCAGTAAAATGACCACCACAAAGCTTGGAGTCCAAAGACATGGGCTTAAAAGGAAGCTCTGGTGCTTTTTATGTGATTTTGAGCAGCTCATTGACTTGGCAGATCCCAGTTATTGGGGAATGAGAATAATGAATCTGCCTAGAGCTCACCATACCACGATTCTGAGGACTTCAGGAAATAATTGATGTGGGATATTGTTAAGTCAATTGTTGAGGATCATGGTGCTGTCATAGAAACATGTTCATCATTGGCCAGTCAGGGGGCAGGGAACTTAATCACTCTCAGAAGATTCTGCAAGTCCACATTATGATTCACTCAAGACCTTATTTTATTCATTCATAGGCTCTGTAGAGAAGACCTTGCTTACAATAATTTTCTTTCTCTTATGACCTGTGTGTTCTTAGACAAAATACAAAACATTTCTGAATCATGGTTTCCTTCTGTGTAAAATGAATCCAATTAAATGTCCATATCCTCCATCATTCAATGATGTAATCCATGTCAGGTGCCTGGAAAAGTTAGCCTTCAGTAAGACTTAACCATCATTTTATTGCAATTTAATACCAATTTCTTTGGTGCCTCTTTTGTCTCAGACATAGTACTGGTTTTAAGGATACAAACATGAATAAAACCTATTCCTCATTATGCAAGCACTCCTTAATTCAATGTGGAAAACAGGACAAATAATTACTGGAGAATGTGGTTGAGGTTATGACCCAAGTGTTCACATGCTTTGGGAGCATCCTGGAGGGGCTGTAACCAAGAGGTCGGAAGGAAATTCAAAGCTATGCTGCAGTTGACCATATGTCCAAGTTTATCTAGGACATTCCCCATTTTATATGTTGATCTGGAGTCTGGACCCCTAGGCCTCATGAACAACATGTACATGTGCAGGAGGTACAAAAGTTCATGGACAAAGAACCAGGTTTGATTTTTCTTAACAAGGGATGTGGGTCTTTTGTGATCTAGCCTTGCCCTCCTCACAGCCTTGTCATCTCCCGCTGCTTCCCCACACCCAGACTGGTCATAGGAATGACAGAACTTCCTCAAATTATCTGAGCCCATGTGCCTTCTGTCTTGGTGGTCCTTTTCCCTGCCCACTTTTGCCATATCCCCATCATTAACCTGCTAATGTCTTGGCAGCGCCAGTCATGCCTTGCCTCTAGAGCCTTCCCTGACCTTAGCAGCTCTCTACAGGCTCTCTTGTGTGATCTCATCCCTGGGATCACAGAGCACCCTGATTCATTTCTACTCCAGCATGGACCGCAAGCCGCTATCATCACGTAACTAACTGAGTACATCATGTGCTAAATAAAACAAACTGTCTCAACACCTGAAAATAGACTCCTTTAAGGGAAGGAACTGCCTTTGCCTGGGGAAATACTTTATCGATCCGATTGAGGTAAAAATTGCAACCCTAAAAACATGAGACTGCTAAACCACTTAGCAATAAAAATTAACCAAAAACGGCTGGGCACGGTGGCTCATGCCTGTAATCCCAGCACTTTGGGAGGCTGAAGCAGATGGATTGCCTGAGGTTGGGAGTTTGAGACCAGCCTAACCACCATGGAGAAACCCCATCTCTACTAAAAATACAAAATTAGCCAGGGGTGGTGCATGCCCGTATTCCAGCTACTTGGGTGGCTTAGGCAGGAGAATCGCTTGAACCTGGGAGGCAGAGGTTGTGTTGAGCTGCGATCGTGCCACTGCACTCCAGCCTGGGCAACGAGAGCAAAAACTCCATCTCGAAAAAAAATTATCCAAAAATTAGAGATGGGATTAGTGTTGAGGGCCAAAAAAAAAAAAAAAAAAAAAAAAAAAAAAAAAAAAAAAAAAAAAGAAGAGAGAGAGAGAAGAGGATATGGTCTAGTCACATGCTGAAGGATTTTTAAGAACAAGATTGTTTAAAATTTTAAGTTCTTGGTCCAACAATGCAAGTCATCAACCACAGTCTCGTACGTGAGGTTTTTTTTAGTTGGCATCAATCCTGGTGCTGGAACTCATGGCTGGATCAGTGCATGGGGAAAGGAGACAGGTTGGCGTCCCACAGCTGAATTAATTTGGCAGGAAAAGGAGTCCTTAGCTGGACTCTGAGATTTTACACAGCTCCCTGTACTTCGGAGACTATCTATCTATCTATCTATCTATCTATCTATCTATCTATCTATCTATCTATCTATCTATCTATCGTGAAAGATTCAAGTGGTGTGTATGGTGGGCATGCCCTAAAGTAATCTCCAATGAGTCAGGTAGTTGCATAATTGTCTTTTCTGAGTGCAAGAAGAACCTGTGACTTGCTTCTAACAATAGAATATGCCAAAAGAGATAGGATGTCACTACTTTGTGTACTTTTTTTTTAAATATGGCAAAGGCAACTGGATAGTCATGCCTGTGATTATGTTACATTATATGAGACTCTGGGGCTAGAGATTCTCCTGCTGCTCTTGATGTGAGCTGCTGTTTTGAAAGGCCAGTGAGAGCTATATGGCAAGGAACTGTGGGGTTCTTGGACTTGAGAGCATCCCCTTGCTGATGACCAGCACGAAAGTGGGACCTGTTCTGGAACTGCAAGGATCAACAATCACGGGATACTGGTGAGTCCTTTCACAAGCTCCAGAGAAGAACACATCCCAGTCAACTCCATGACTGCTACTTCATGAGAAGCTCAGCAGAAGACCCAGTTAAGCCATGCCCAGACTCTTCATGAACCTGAGATTAAAAAATTGTATGTTGTTGTAAGCCACTAAGTTAGAGACAATTTTTTATGCAGCAATAGAAAACGAATACCGTATGGAATGGGAATCTGCACTGAGTGTATCTCACTTTTATACAGCAGGGGTAACCCAAAGGAGGTCTGGGCTGCATGTGTGCATCTGCTCTATTAGACTCTGCTCCCGGAGGGCAGAGACTATGTCCTGTTCCTCCCTGTATCTCAGTGAGTAGCTCAAGCCTGACACTTATTAAGAACCAATATATGTTTAGAGAATGAATACAAACAATTTCAGCAATTAGCAATGGCCTTGGTTGTTGAAATTAAAGGCAAGGGACATAAGGTGAACTTGGAGAGACAGGCTGGGAGCATGATATGAAAGATTTTGTAGATCAAATGAATAGTTTGAGCTTTATTCTGCAGAAGATAATCTTTTTAAAAATACATGGTCGCACTCTGTCACCCAGGTGGGAAGCCAGTGGCGTGATCATAGCTCACTGTAACCTCTAATTCCTGGGCTCAAGTGATCCTCCCATCTCAGCCTCCCAAGTAGCTGGGACAGGTGTGCACCACCACCCATGGTTAATTTTGTTTTCATAGAGATGGGGTCTCCTTATGCTTCCCAGGCTGGTCTTGAAAGTCTAGCCTCAAAAGATCCTCCTTCTTTAACTTCTTAAAGCACGGGCATCAGAGACATGAGCTTCTGTGCCCAGCCTAGAAGATTTATCTATCTATCTATCCACACACATACATATATATGTATCTCTCTCTCTCTCTCTCTATATATATGGAATATATGGATGGATATATATACAGATAGATAGATATATGTAGAAAGATGGATGTGTGTGTGTGTATATATATACACATATATGTGTGTGTATATGAGCTGACCAGAGAGGAAGAGGGTGCGCTGGAGAGATGACAAGAGTCCCATGAGACAGCATCCTTCTGTGGTCTTGGCAGGAGTCGTGACTAATGGGATATAAAGATCGAGCAAGAGGAGCACTCGTAAGGTCTTGGGGTGGGAAGAAAGAGGACAATGTGCTGTTCGCAGACATCAAAAAGCTGTGCAGTGGGGCCAGCAGCACCGTGAAGATAAGAAGCTACTTGCGGTCCTGCTGCACTTGAGGTCCAAGTGGAAATCTCCATCCGGCTGATGGAAATCTAAACTTAAGCCTTAGGGGCTGAATATCTAACTCTCTTTCAGCTCTCGTAGTCTGATTTTAGAGCAAGGAGAAGGGATAATTCCTCCTTCGCCAACCACCAAAATGCAGTTTCAGCCGAGTTCCCATCCGCAGGGAGCCTGCGGAGCCACGCTTTGGCCAGGAGGGGGCAGCAGAGGCCGGGCGTAGCCTCTCGCTTCTCACGCCTCACCAGCAACTTCAGGAACCTTCCTCTTTCTAAGACAGGAGGACAATCATTAATCTATACAGCTAAAAGCATCAAGGAAACCCTCCTTAACCTGAGAAGAGGATGCACTCCTTAGTTTCTTGCACATTTCAATTTACCCTTAACATATGAACTTGATTTCAGACGGAGACCACATTATCAGTCCCACTGATGGACAACGACGTGGCGCTGAACGTGGGGCTAGAGATGCTCCTGGGGGTCTTGACGTGAGAGCCGCCCCCAGTTGCTTTCTTCCTGGTTTTCTGCTTATCTTCCTGTTTTGGTTTCCTGTCTCTCCACTCTCACCAATTATTCCTGTTCTTCCCTTTCTTCTGTCCTTTGTCACTTCAGTTTCCTTCTCTATAGTCTGGTGGGTTTTTTTGGTTGTTGTTGTTTTGTTTTGTTTTTTGTTTTTGAGACGGAATCTCGCTTTGTCACCCAGGCTGGAGTGCAGTGGCGCAATCTCCGCTCACTGCAACCTCTGCCTTCCCGGTTCAAGCGATTCTTCTGCCTCAGTCTACCAAAGAGCTGGGATTACAGGCATGCACCACCACACCCGGCTAATTTTTTTGTATTTTTAGTAAAGCCGAGGTTTCACCATTTTGGTCAGGCTGGTCTCGAACTCCTGACCACGGGTGATCCACCCAACTCGGCCTTGGAAAGTGCTGGGATTACAGGCGTGAGCCACAGCACCTGGTCTTTCTCTATAGTCTTGACTGTTTCCTTTCCTCTGCTCTTCTCTTACTGCCCTGGCATTCCTGAGTTATTTTCCTCTCCTTCTCCTGCATCCTTTCCTCCACTGCTCCTCTCCTCTCTTGTTCCTCCTTCCTCTGTGCCTTGCCCACCACTTCTGTCTCCCTTCTACACCCTGCAGGAGTGAGCACGGGTTTGTGGCCAGGAGTCTTGGGGAGAGCCAATAGCAGCCTTCTGTCTGAAGCATCCAGGCTGTCTTTGCAAATGATGCCAGTCAAGGTCAGCAGTCGTGAGTATGCCCTTAAATCAGTTTCCATCGCCTCCATGCTTCCACCCTCAGTATTCTTTCCTCACCCTTGGCCATCTTCCATCCAAGCCCAGGTTGGGGAGGGCAAAAGGGAACTGACACAAGGAAGCCTGCTTTGTAGCTGCAGGTGGCTCTAAAGCGTCAAATGCGGGGGCCTCGGGACAGGAACTAGTGCGTGCTGTCCAAGCCCACTGGACACCTAACCTCTGTCAGGCAGCAGGCCAGGAGGGCTTTTGCAGATGCAGATGTGAGGGATGACCACAGCGGTACCAGGAAATCCCTGCCGCCTCTTCTCACTCATATCTGGCATCCATTTATAGGCTCCAAAGCTGAGCCTGCTGGAAGTAAGAGGCAAGGTTTCCAGCCAAACATCCCCTCACAGGCTTCATTCACAGTGAGACAAACACGGTGAAAACATTGATGCAGGAATTTTTTCATGCATCATTTTCTCTTTTACTCCTGAGAGCAACACTGTGAGGAAGGGGATTATCATTTTATTTGTATCCCCATTTTACAGATGGGGAACTGAGCCTCCAAGCTCAGGCAGGAGGGACACAAAGGGAGTGAGGAGTCAGATACTGTGCTGAGACCAATGGGGCCTTGGAAGAGAATCTGCAGAGAATGAGGTGTGGTCAGAGCCAGAGGGAGAGCAGGGAAGGCAGCCTGGCCTGCTGCTCTCCGTTCAGCTGGGATAAGTCAATGTCTTCCCTTCTCTTCCTCTGGAGTCTGAGATTTGGCAGAAAAACTATTAGTAACATTCCAGATAGCTCCCAGAAACCCCTGCTGGCTCCTGCTCTAATTACAGCTGTTCACGGACAGCTTTCAGAGCATCTGTAGCCCTCAAAATGTCCTAGAAGGTAGCACTAGACTCCCTTTCTTAGAATCCTTGTCTGTCTGCCATTGAATAGCAATGTGTAGAAACATTTTTCCTAGCTAGATGAAGGCAGAATTGAATTGTCTAAAAGAGAGGCATTACTACATCATAGTTAGCTGCACCTGTCCTAACCC